TCTGGTGGGGAATAGACAGTATGTACCTCACATACGGAGACACATGAAAACAAACAGAGACTGGCCAAACATGTCACATGAACCAAAACATGGAGGAGCTACACTGAAACCAACGGCAGCTCCAACAAACACATCTCAGAATCAACAATGTGCAATATTACAAAGTACAAATTTCAAAAGGTCTGTAAGCTTTTTTCTTTTTAATTCAACTTACTAACTTGATTTACTTATGTCCCAACATCTAAGAGCCACAACAACAGCATTCATCTGTTCTTCTGACCGTTCGGCCAATGATGTGTATGTTGAGAGTGGGATTCAAACCACCAACCTTCAGATCAGTGGACAAACACTACCAACTGAGCTACAATCTTTCTATTTTTTTTTCTCTTCAGTTCACAAGATAACACCTATTTGCTCACTATTCAGTTTGAGCTCTATTTTGAGCTTTTGCTACAAACATGTCCCTCACACACAGACACTTTTGACTTTGATTCCACAGTTGGCTTTGACCTGCTCTGAAAGCCCCTCTCTCTCTCTCTCCGCCGTACGAGCGCAGGACTACAGCTCAGTTCTGTGTGACTGGAGAGTGTCAGTACGGTGGCCCGCTGTGCCCAGATTACATGTTCAGTGTCCCACAGCAGGAGGGGGAAGAGGAGGGGGGAGGGGGACTGGGATGGCGAGGACAGCCTGGTAAATGACCACAGTGGGGCGGCGCACGGCTGGATGAGCACTTCTCCTCAGAGCGTGTGCCCGAGCAGATGTGGAGTTCAGAACTGCCCAATTTGTCCTGGAAAGATAATGCAGCGAGAAACACACAGACCCTCACAGCCGCTAATGATAAGAATAAAATGGATAATAATAATGATAAGGCATTGGTCCTTTACAGAGGTAATTTAGTGATTTTCTATGCACTCCCCGGTCACACTGAGACACGTGGAAGCCTCACACATGTGAATTTCACATGCAGGAAATCGTACTAGAAAACATCAATGCATCCTATTCTCCTACATTCAGACTGTAGTCATTTGAAAAAAACAAAACCAAAAAGTTAAAGTTAATTAGTTATCAGTGATTTTGTGGTGACGTGGAAGCCTCAGACAAAGAAGCAAACTGAGTGATGTGTTTTGGAAATATATATTTAACATGGCAGAGATCTTACTAGAAAACATTCATGTAATAGTCTACTCTATTAATCTGTGTACCATTCGTTCATTTGTTTTTCAAAATAAAAAAGAAAAATAAGAAAATGGAAAAACAACTATTTTCTTCATTATTTGTCTTCAAAACCAAAATGAAAAAACAGAAAAAGATTTGTTTTTTCAGTTTTTGATTTTGTGTTTAAATGAATAATTTTGTATGTGCTCCCCAGTCACTACAATGATAGTGGTAGAAAAGCATCACTGGAAAGCATCACCATAATAGTGTACTCTATTCTTCCTACATTCAGACTGTAGTAATCTGTAAAAAAAAACAAAAAAAAGATTCAAAGAAGTAAATAGCCATGGTGTTTTTATGCATGTTCTATATGTCCAACTACGCAAAAAATAAGTACTTGGAATTGATCAGTAATCTGGCTAATTTTTAAAAAGTAGCTGTCAGACTGTGTTTGTTTCCATTCTTATACAGTAATTTACCATATTCTTTCAGTCTGAGCCTAATTTGAAACTTAATGAAGTGAATGTAAAGGGGAATGATGTATACAGTTTTTGCTTCGGGCCAAACAAGCCTCGGGCAAATACTACAGCCTCTGTTTTCTGCATTCATTTACCAGCCCTGAGCAGCATTTATGGAGCTGCAATCAATTATGAGTGAAACTTTAAACCAATCCACACTCAATCTATAAGAGTCTAATATTAATGATCCTATTTCTTACACAAAATTGACTCTTGTGAGCTTTAAACCATGTTAGAGTGTTGTTACCTTCTCAAAAACACACCTGGAGTTGTGTTTTGTTTCACTCACACATGTTTGAGTAATGCTTTATTATTAGGCTATGTCCAGACTGCAGGACTTAATGCTGAAATCTGATTTTTTTTTGGAAATCTGACTTTTTTTGCAAGGTCGTTCACATTTCCAATTAAATGTGAACCAAGATAGAGGATCAAAGAGAATGATTGGTGAATTTTATCAAGGGGAAAGACGTTATTGCAGCGATTGATTAAATAAAAAAAGTACCCACCTACCGTCGAGTGAACGAATTCTAATGCCGCGAGGTCAGATGGTTTCCATGAAGTTAAACCAGCTAATGAATCAGGCTAAAATTGTCTCAAAATCAGATACCAAAAGTTCAGTGTTTAGTAGTATATTTGGCGATTAACATTATACTTGTACTTCAGTGATTATTTGGATCCTTAATGCTTTTTACCTGTACTTGAGTAACACATTAAAGGCATTAAATATTATTGCTTTGCCTCGATTTTCCATAGTATGTTGATGGGGATGCCAAGATACGGCTACGTTTATATGATGACGGTCTGAACAGAAGATGCAAAAGTGGCATCGCGTCTTCACTTTTTATTCTGCATTTTCAGGAGGATATCTGTGTGCAAACGGTGACGCAAAAGTGTGTGGAAATCGACTGGGTATGCATACCAGGTGGTGATGCTTTTGACGTAAACACGTACGCGACGTGAGCAGATCTGACCAGAGTTTTGCGTCTTGGGCAGTGCAGACGGAAACGCTACATTGGAGAGAATTCAACTTTTCCACTCTGGAGGGTGGTTTCAGATTTTTGCGTTTTTAAGCCCCAAAAACACCGTCACCATCTAAACGAAATACACCTCTGATAAAATATTTTGTCGTTTTTACCCACAAGCATTCTCGTGTAAACAGGCCGTAAGATCTGTGGAGAAACACACATGCTAACAAAAAGCATACATGTTTCTCAACTGTTTTTTGTAGAAATAAAAACACCTGTTATCTTATAAACGCAAGAAAGGTAAGTTTAATGCCGTACAACATTCCAGACAAAACAAAAACAACATAAGATAAATAAGTTGAGCACAATTCTCAAACCTGTGTTTCTGATTGACACTCCTCTGCAATTACTGAAACTCATCCAAAATAAAAAGCAAATAAAATATTAAGCGTCGCACCAGTGTGGTTTATTTTCACAGATGAGTGACCTAGAAAAAGGAAGATTTTGGCAGCGTTGAAAATAAATGTCCCTTATATTTGTCTGCGATGACTAAGTCCCGTCCCATGCACTGGCTACCTCAGTCGCACTGTGGCTGAACTAAACTTGTCAACTCAACGTAATTATTGTTTTTTTTACCGTCTAGTCTCCAGTCTGGTAACCCCGAGCAACAGCCTATGGGCGATGTGTTCAAGTGCGGTAGGATAAATGGCGTTGAATCATGTCTTGGCACAAGCTGCAGCTATAAACCCCCAACCAAAAAATACTACGTTCTCATGATAAAAATGAAACCATGTGTGAATTTAAATGCCATATTGTTATTTTTACAGATAGATCGTAAAGTCAAGACAAAAGAGTGCAATCATTTCGCTATCAGAAGTACTTATGAGGTTAAAATAATGGATGGATGTCATTTCTCTGGTTTAAACTTCGACCTGTACAAAAGGAAGAATCTGATGTGAAGGATTTTCCAGACATTTCCACTATTAAGGCTGCTCCCGATCCTTATGTTGTGAACTATTTTGACCCTAAATAGTTATGGGACTATACAGAGTGTGAGAAATTTTAACTTCTCTGTCCAAAATGTGAAGTGTATTATTTACTTAAAACAGACCTATTATGTAAAATTGACTTTCCAGAGCCTTTAACCACCTTATAGTTGTTTCCCCTCACCGTGTATCCATCCAAAGTTGTATTTGGAGTGATTTGTGCATGTTTCAGCAATCGTTGTTCTCCAATTTTCTTAATATGTGATATGCGTAGGATTTGGCATCATCGTGCAGTCATTTCAGTACAAATGAAAAAAAATAAATAAAATCTGCTAGTGTGATGTCCAGCTATCCATCAGAGGGGCTAACGGCTGTGTGACTCTTTGTTGTGATCCTGTTCACAGCAACGACAGCTACCATTGGGCACCGCAGTTTTCTAACGCAATTGTCAGTCGGCTTGTTTCTATTATTAAGCTGTTTTAGATGACTATTGCCATTTTAAAAAGTGCAAATTATAACATTGTGATCCACGGGTGTCATAGATTATAACTTAAATAGTAGAACCAAGCACAAGTCTTCAAAAATATCAAAAATAATTACAGTATTTTTCGGACTATAAGTCGTACCAGCCAACAAATGTATAATGAAGAAGAAAAAAAAAAATCTAAGTCACACCGGACTATAAGTCACACTTTCTGGGGGAAAGGGACCAAGAACTGACATTTCATCTTGAAAGGCAAGTTATAGTTATAGTAATAATAATAGAATAGAGAACAATTCCTCTTCCTCTTCTGCGGAGCTGTCGTCAGACTCAGACTCAGCATCAGTTCCAGTTAGAATTATTCCAGTTTTTCTGAATCTCAACAGGATGGTTTCAGTTGTCATTGAAGTCCAGGCTTTGTTGATCCATCCAATGACTTCCAGGGAAAGTTGCATACTTTCTTTGTGCTGCTCGATAACCATTTTTGGCTGCATATTTCACTACTTGCAGCAGGACAATGGCTTTTTCTGCAGGAGACATGCGCAGTAGAGTGCAAAGTGACAGTGGTACAGAAGTAATAGGAGCAACAGACACTGGCACACATATTTAGAGTGCCCTCTCACGGCTGTCAGTGTGAACATTTTAATATATAAGTCACAGGACCACCCAAATCATGAAAAAAGTGCGACTTATAGTTCGAAAAATACAGTATTATTCTGTCAGTTATTTTACTAGTTTTCTTAGTTTCACAATGTGCTTCTTGATCAAAAACACTTTTGTTACATACGCACCTTTTAACGTTTAACTTACTCTCCGGGGTGTACTTTCAGTCTGTACTCATCCTATTATGATCGTAGTATTGAGTAATAGAATGAAACATATCCAAAATACTCACTGTTGGTTGCATAACATATTGTTGATGAGGCATCCATGACGTACTCTGGACCTGTGGAAACAGAAAAAAGAAATATAAATGAAGTCATATTCTCAGACCACTCTTATTACATTAGAAAATTAAATACTGAACTTAAATAATTGTGTTATGAGACATTTTGTTTGTCTCCTTGTCCATCGCCACATCCAAAACCTTCCACAGTATGAAATCAAACGTATATTCTGCATTATAAGTGACTGTATGTCAAAAATTGCTTAAAGAACATATTTTGCTCAACTGAATTTTGCGTTAGAAAACTGTGTTGCCCGATGGGAGCTGACATCGCTGTAAACGGAGCTGTGAAGTGTAGTTGGCACCTCCTATGGACAGCTGCAGATCGCTATCAAGTGGCAGATTTTTTTTCATTTATACTGAGTAATATGTGTATCACTGATTAAGAAAATAAAACTGGAGAATGAAGTAAGTACAGAACAGTGGGCGCATACCAGTGGACAGGGTCAGACTGGGAACAAAATTCAGCCCTGGCATTTATTCTCTGGACCGGTCCACATTTCTGTACAGTAGCTCCCCATTACCCACACTATGCACAGAGCGTAGTGCACCGTCGCGGGCTGGGCAGGGGTAAAGGCTCAGAAATGTGCGTTCTAAGTTGCTTTTCTTTACAAACAAACAAAAATCACATTAACTCATAAAAACACTGAGTTTTAATAAATTATGTTGTTCACACACAAAACAGAAAAAAAACAAACAAATAAGGTCACACTTTATAATAACTACACCTTAGTTAGCCTTAATAAAGCATGAACAAAGACTTAATTAATAATGAACAAAGAGTTAATTAATAATGATTCACACTTAGTAAATGCTTAATAAAGCATAATTCGTCTTCACTTTAGAAAAGCTCTCAAAAAGACTTAACTAACAGATAACAGCTGCATCAATTATCATTGCACTGTATTATTAGTAAATCATTCTCTCATATCTTACTAATGATTAATAAATGCACAAATGATTAGTCCATGAGTAATTAAGTATGAAATAATTATGAGCAACTATTTCCAACACAGGCAAATTAAGTGCAAGTGCTAATTAAGGTAGTAATTAAGTAGTTACTAAGCGTGAATCATTATTAATTAAGTCTTTGTTCATTATTAATTAAGCCTTTGTTCATGTTTTATTAAGGCTAAATAAGGTGTAATTATAAAGTGTTACCCATATTTTGACTATTTCAGTACAAATTATGTAATTATTTACTGATTTTTAATAATATAGTATTAAAATACTGTATTGACCTATAAACTTGGCTGCAATGCTTCATGGGAAGGTGTTCTTTGAGACACTGACAGGAGTAGTTTTCGGTAGGTGTGCTCGGACCTTGAGTGACGCAGACGTGTTCGGGGCATAACCCTGCACTGCTTGTTTTTTTGAATGGTGCTAATTAAAGCCAAAATACAAGAGAACCTGTTCCCACAAATTCTTCACGCACAATGTTACAATAAATTATTAAACGTTTTTGGGTGGGCTTAGGGGCATTTGCCTGGTTGTACAGATTGCCAGTCCGAGCCTGCTGGTGGAGTTGAAACCAAGGGTTGATCAGCAGTATGGTGTCTTAAAAATAAGCAATTAAAGATGAGAAGTGTAAACAACTATAACATGGTTAAAAGCTTTGAAAAGTCAATTGTGCATATAATAGGCCTGCTTTAATCAGTAAACACAGAGCAGCTTAATGGCATACATCGGAACATTTCAGACAAAACAATAACACCTCCACAGAGACGCTCCAGTGGACAAAAAAAGTGCCTCTTTAAAATATTCATATGGTAAAGAGTGACATAATCCATTTATTTAAGGCTGACATTTCATTTTTGAGCATAAATTGAAACATGCCACTGTTAGCAGAGACTGATTCTGATCCCAAATCTAAACTAGTTCCACTGAGAGATTCCACAGATCATCTCTCAGACCATCGTTACTGCCCAGAGCATGACTTGTGTGGAGCCTTTAAATTAGGTTTCTCCTCCATTAGAATAATAGCATTAAAGCCGTGGCCGGGCTGGTGCAAGAGGGTGAAAGGTAGTGAAATGTGGACTCTGTGATTGCTTTGAGTCATAGAGATATTGCACAGAGTTTGGAGAAATTAATAGACAAGGGAGTTTGTGCACTGGACTGGGTCAGCTACAAGAAAATCATCTCGAGGGTCTTCATGAGAATGACTAAATTCTGACACTTGACAAGTTTATCTCTGGGTCATTATTTGTTACTGCAGATGCATAAAAGCAACAGTTACATCGGACAACAAGGCAAAATCAATGCGCAGAGTCTGCAGCGTGTAAACTAATCTGTGTAAGTGGAGTAAGTGTGGCTACAGGAGAAAATAAGCAGTTAGGTTAAGGGTTTAATTTATCATTCCAATGTAGTAGTCGTTGTAGTAGTTGTATTAGTAGTCGTAGTAGTAGCAGTGTGACAAATGAACCACTGTGGAATGCTTTAATTTAAGGGTCTAATATTACAGAAGTTTCTTATCTATGTTGCAGTGTTGTTTCTCAGAGTTGTGTTTTGTTTCATTCACAAATGTTTAACACACAAACCCTGCATATTTAGACCGAGTTCTTCTCTCAAACAGAGAACACACTGTTCCACCTTATGATGTCATGTGGTGATACAGGAAGTGCTCCACCGTGTTTCTGAACAACACTGGTATACAGTCCATATTTCCTTCCTTACCAGTCTTGTTAAATAGAGATGTTATCATTTTTGGTGTATTACTTTAAAATAAAAAAGAAGTCACATTTTACATCCACAAATGTAGTGTCCCCCTAACTTTGCTTGTTTTATGGATTCTACTCAACTTGCTATTATCTTTTTCTCTTCCTAAATGCACTTTTTATAAAATGTTGTTTTATTACTATGGTATTGTATTATTGCTGTATAATATGTTGTGTTAATGTTCTCTCATCCCGACATGCAACTGCTGACGACACACAGCCATGTTTGTTGTATCAAGTTTATGCACCCAGTTGTCTGTAATAAAAAAAAAAAAAAGTGTTTTTCAACTCCATACTCCTTCACTAGAATCATTTGGACAATTTGAGACCTGGAATTTTCAATCTTTACTAAACCAAAAAGTAAATGGTAGCTGTACAACATGACATCACAAGGTGGAATCTATAGGACCTTTAAAAAAATAACACTGAGTAGTTTTACTTGCACTGTGTTACTTTTCTGATGAGATGTTTTCCACCTTTGTGTCTCCGTGGAGATGTTGTTGCGTTGCCTGGGTTATTACAGTATAATATTAAACTTTTATTTAATTACAAGTGTTTTTATTGCTCAGAACCCCCCTGAGAAACATTGTGATTTGTATCCATGGAGATAAGTTCAATGTCACACTGTGGAACATTGCAGGCAAAACAACAACATCTCCATGGAGACAAGCAAGTGGCGAACCTTAAACCAGAAAAGTGACACAGTGCACCTTTATCGAAACATTATTACTCTACAATTTCAACAAGCCACTTTGATTACACTGAGTCAGTAATAAGTATTCTGGCTACTTCTTAAATCCACTTTTATCATTACAATAGAAGAGAAGAGCGAGAGAAAGAGAGAGAGGGAGACAAAGAGAGAGAAAAAGAAAGAGACAGAGCAACAAACAGAGGGGGAACAGAGAGAGAGAGGAAGAGAGAGAGGAAGAGAGAGGGTCAAATAAAAAGAGAGAAAGAAAGATATAGACAGAAGGAGAGACAGAGAGAAAGAGGAGAGAGGGGTGGGAGACAGAGAGAGAGAGAGAGACGGAGAGACAGAGAGAGAGAGAAAGAGAGAAAGAGGGGGAGAGACACACACATACAGAGAGAGACAGAGAGAAAAAGAGAGAGAGAGACAAAAGGAGAAAGACAGAGAGAAAGGGACAGAGAGAGAGAAAATGAAAGAGAAAGACAGAGGGAGACAGAGAGAGAGAAAGAGAGAGAGAGAGAGAAAGGGACAGAGAAAGAGAGAAAATCAAAGAGAAAGACAGAGGGAGACAGAGAGAGAGAAAGAGAGAGAGAGAGAGAGAAAGGGACAGAGAAAGAGAGAAAAAGAGAGAGAGAGAGAGACAAAAGGAGAAAGACAGAGAAAGGGACAGAGAGAGAGAGAGAGACAGAGGGAGACAGAGAAAGAGAAAAAGAGAGGGGGAGAGACACACATACAGAGAGAGGCAGACAGAGAGAAAGAGACAGAGAGAGAGAGACAAAGGGAGAGACAGACAGAGAGAAAAAAGAGAGAGAGACGGAGAGACAGAGAGAGAGAGACAGAGAAAGAGAGAAAAAGAGTGGGAGAGACAGAGAGAGAAAGAGACAGTGTTTTTGCAAAACAACAGAACGCTGTAAATCTGCATGTTGACAAATGCATGCGAGGATGATGAAGAGATAAGATGAAGCAGTCTATACATATTCTCAGGACGGAGGAGTCGACAGCTTGTAGCAGAGGAACGCAGGCTGCCCACTGATCCCCCCAAAATGATTCGATTTAAGCAAGACAAACACACTATAATCTGCTATAAGTGCAATCAATCCTGAGAGGCGCGCTTTGGACACACACCTCAACGACAACGCAAAGCCAAGACGCTTTGTTTACGCTACGAAATATTTGTTCTCCTCAGATACAGACTCTGGGCTTATCCTAATCGCTCACTCGTTTTACTGAGCGCCAGCGTAAAGCGTGACCAACATGTGAGGCTGGGAACGAAGAGAGAGAGAGAGAGAGAGAGACAGAGGGAAGGGAACAGAAAGAGATGCTGAGAGAGAAAGGGTGAGAGACAGAAGCAAAGAAAGAGATACAGAGGGAAAGAGACAAAGAGAGGGAGGTGACAGATAAAGAGAGAGTTACAGAGGGAGAGAGAAACAGAGAGGGAGAGAGAAAGAGGCAGAGAGAGCGACAGAGAAAGAGAGAGGGAGGGAAATACAGACAGAGAGAGACAGAGATAGAGAGAGAAAGAGACACAGAGAGAGAAAGAGAGAGAAAAAGAGGATGAAACAGAGCAAGGAAGATAGAGAGAGAGAGAGAGACAGAGA